TCATGGAAAACAAAGAAGCAGAAAACAGCGTTAAAATCCTCTTGTGAAGCTGAGTATAGAAGTCATGCAACAAATGTTTGTGATCTCTTATGGATCAGTTACATTCTTAAAGACTTGAAGGTGAGGTTCAAGATACCAATTGCATTATGGTGTGACAATAAATCAATAATTCACATAACAGAGAACCTAATATTTCACGAGAGAACGAAACATTTGGATATAGACTGTCATCTAGTTCGTGATTGGTACAAACTAGGATTTGTTATACCAAAACATATTCCAACAAACAAGCAACTAGCAGACATTTTCACAAAAGGTTTATTCGGGCCACAATTTCAACTTTTAATGTCCAAGATGAATCTGAGTGATATTCACCAAGTTTCATCTTGAGGGGACAATGTTGAGTTACTTAGCACGTGTCTTCATTCTATTAGACAGAGTATAGTTTGTTATTTCATTCAGTTAGAAGATACTTGATAGATTCATTGTATCTCTTTGTATATATTCCGTATTCATCAATAATACAGTTAACACTTTTCCACAATTCTTCTTATCATCTCATTACATGAATTAGAAGGCAGCTTACCAGCAATTAACTGAAGCGTAAGGTAGGTGTATCTAACAACCACCGTTTGATGAATCCAATGCTAGAGAAGCTGCTACTTGACGTAGACAACCCGGTTTTGCAGAAGAGGGTTTCACATATAGGTGAATGATATATATATATATATATATATATATATATATATATATATATATATATATATATATATATCTGTGTGTGTGTGCGTGCGTTTTTTATATGTTTAAATAATTATAAAAAACAGTTTTTATACATTTCTAGGCTAATGTCATAAAAGCCCTTAAGTTTTTAAAAAATATTCATTTTTAACCTTAAGTTTTCAAGTCAAGTCATATGTCTATGATATGTTGGTAACCGGGTAACTTGCTAAAAGGGTAAAAATGAAAAAAAAAAAAAATTACGCAAACTTCCGACTTTAGTGAACCCAAAAGACACCAAAAGGTAAAACCGAACATTTCTTGAAAATTTAAGAGCTTAATGACATTAGCCCTTAGTTGTATATAAAAAAAATATAAATATAAACAACACAGATAGAGAGTTATTTTCCAAACAAATTGTCTCAACAACCAGCAGCATGCCTAAGTGGTTCCCAGGGGATCCCGGGTCACTACTCCGGTTTCGTTTTGTACTGTAATATTTTTTTTCTATTAGGGTGTGACATCTATATAAAATTAGTGTCATTATTGTTTTTTTTGGTGCCTCTACGTCGAAATCTTTTGTCTCCACCGTTGTACAACGTACAACCGGACGACAAGTGAAATGAAGAGACATAAAAGTCTTGGACAATTTTTGTATTTTTATCTCATCGTCAATGTGTCATAGTGGTAATCATTTGCAATAAGACATTTTAAAATTGAGTTAGACTCGAATTCGAATCTCACTTAAAACTTGGACTTGTTTACCATTAAAAAAAAATATGTTATTTATATTGGAAGTTTATTTTTATTATCATAGATATTATTATAAAATTATTTGGAGTGTTACAATGGCTCTATTAACAATATTAAGATCGAAACGCATGTATGCAATCGTACAATAGTTAGAAAGCCGGTCATCCGATGTACATCAAATATTGGTAACCAAAACATTGGTCTCTACGATACAGCTAAATTTTGGTTTAAAAGAGTTCTTTAGACCATGCATGCTGTATTAATTCCAAAACATTGTTCTCGGCAAAACAACCAAATCTACGACATATCATCTAATATAGTTGTTCATTCCAAGACAAAATACCATCACCAGTATATGAGAAAAGGTCTTCATAGAAGACAAATTAATCACACTTCATTCGCCAAACGAAAACATAATTTCTATACTAATCAAGAGGAACATACATGCAAATATTTAATAGTTTATTATAACGGACGTAAGTAACATACCTTTAGGCAATAATGCAATACGTACATAAAGATATGCAGATAGCTGCATGTAAATGACGTTAATTTCTTTGTGTATATGACCTTTGAAGAAATTCCTAGAAATGACAATCCATAATACATGTCACAGATTCAGACATCGTCTTCCATAATGTTCATATTGATGTTATCGCTTCCGTATTACTCTTTTTCAGACACTAATGGCATTAAACATGAAGAGCATGGAAGAATATAGCAAATAATAAAAATGACGTATTATTGTAGGAACCAAAAATTTATAACAATGGATTATGAACATAACTCGATTAACAACAGTGTTCATAAGGCTGCCATCCTTCAAAAATTGTTGTACTTGCTTGATTCTCTTTTTTAAATTTTCCCTATAATACCCCAAATAGATTGATCAATCTCCTTTTTTCACCCATCACATTGAATCAAATCAAGCATGGTTGGGGTTTCGATCCATTTATAGGTGGCCCTATTAATTAAGGTCTCCAGGCAGAAGCAGTAAGCAAACACAGGTCTTTCCAGCCAAGCTTGAGCGTACCCTTGTCCTCCACCAAAGTGTAACCGTTCGACGGGAACATCCCAAGGAGGAGAGTCGCCTGAGCAGCTGCATTTCCGGCGAGAGATATACCCTTGAACCCACATTGCTCCAGCTTCTCCCTCCAGTTATTGAACTTCTGTTCACCACTCCTTGAAGGACCTCCGATGGCCAAAACATTCCTGATCTCCTTCGATAGCAGCTGTTGTTCCACCACGTGTCTCTCCTCGCTTTCTTCCCCGTAGCTTGATCCCAGTGAGTCAAACAACGCCGAGTAATAATGAATCGCCTCCACGAACCTCCCCAAGAACGACCCAGCATGGCTCAGGTCCTGTTCTACCACTGTCACCACTTTCGGAGCCAATCTGAGACACAAATTAATAATTTAGATTTTATACCCACCAACGTATCAACTTTCTCCTTGAGTTTAGATAGTGAAAATAAGTGGGATCAGAGTATTTTTACCTTTGCAGGAACCATAAAGTGTTGGTGTCGGAGCCGGTTACATCATAAAGAGAATGCTGCAACCAGTGAACGGCGACGGCCTCCCTCTTGCTCACCTTCAACCTTTCTGGGTTTAAATTTCCGACCTTGTCAGCCACCGCCGAGAACTCAAACGGGAGTCCAAGTTTGTCTGCGAAGTCCGACAAACGTTTTCCGGTGGCTTCCAGCGCGTCGAGCGAGTTGCCTAATCCGGTGAGTCGGACGAACGGTGGACCGCCGGGTCTGGATGCCAATATGTGAAAAAGACCAGGCCATTGTAGACCTTGCATGATGTCGAGGTCGATAATGTGAACCCTGTCTTCTCTCTCGAATGCTTCCTGTATGGCCTGGTTGGCTGTGAAATGTGAGAACTTGACGAAAGGGCTGATGCCGTTGAACACTTGGAAGGCGGATGTCATCTTCTTCAGCCCTTGATGAACTGCTATACTGGGCGGAAGGGTGGTGTAGATCCCAAGGCAAGAGCTCATTAGTCTAGCAGACATGGCTTCTGAGAAGTAAGCGGCAACACGCTGAGCGGAAGTCCCGTAGGGTGTTGATAGCTCCGAGATCTCCAATAGCATCTTGTTGGCATCTTCGAATTTGTCGGCTGAAACTGCCTCCGCACATTGCAAGAGTAAGGTAAGCAGGTGTAGACCTTGTTCGTCTCTCTTCTGCTGCCGCATCTCCTCCCTTTTCTTCTCTCTCAACACCATCGCCGCCGCTTGTGCCGACGCAGCTACTGCGTTTTGATCAGCTTGTGGTGATGGTTGTGACGGCGGAGAGTCCTGCTGCTGTTGTTCCTGGTTGCCGGAGGAAGACATAAGTGCAGGACCAGGAGGAGGAGGAGCCCCACCGGCGTTGTAGTCGTCATTGCCGCTGTTGTTTACTCCACCCCAATCCAGATGGGATTGATTATTCAACTGTTGCTGTGAATCTGGAAGAGGAAGTGGGAACATACTTTCAAGTCCCGAGGCCGAAATAGTAGACTGAATCGTACTACGCGGCTGCTGCTGCTGCTGCTGTCTCAAAGTCGACGACGAGGCTTGTGCCTCTTTCCCTCTCATCATCATCACTCTCGCGTTAAAATTATCAGCCGGTTCATGAGTCGATTGCTGATCTACTAGATTCGGAGGAGGATCTGTCAAAGACCGAAGCCTATACTCGAGGAGGGTGGCGAGATTAGGGTTGCAAGGATGGATGATTTCTCTTACGTTGTGAATCAGATGGGGTATGGAGACGTCTGTCGAACTGTGAATAAGGTCTTTTATGATGCTATCAATCCACGCCGTCGCCGATATGCTGTCATCCGCCGGCATGATAGTGTTATTGCTAGCACTACCTCCTCCGCCTGTCAAGAAGGACATCCCGGTGGTGTTGGTATTAGTATTATTACTTGATGGTGGAGGAGCAAGAAAACCCGCCGCTACAACTCCGGTGGGCGTCGGACAAGTAGTACTAGTTATATTTGACAAATGGTAGTAATTTCTGTCGGGGGGAAACAAAGGAAGACCCGAGAAGACGCATAACGGAGGAGGAGGAGGAGGGTTTTTGTTTGCTGACGGAGTACTATCCATGTAATTAGTTGAGCAGGTGGCGGTAGAGCGATTTGTTGGAAGTGACATCACATGAGCCGTATTTGTGGAAGATGATGATGGTAGCGTCATAGTGGAGTAGTTGGGGAGATGACCACCAATGTTGTTTATATTACCGGAACCTGGAGTTACAGGTACGCCCGAAAGAAGATGATGATGAGCAGGTGTATCACTATTACTTTTATTCTCATTGTTAAGATTTTGACTTTCCTGTTGCTGATGGCCAACGGAGGTGGCGGTGGACGACGGCGATAATCCTCCAAAACCGACAACGTCGAGGGGATTTGTTGAGGGTGGTCGACGTAACATCCTGTGGTGGTCATGTCCTCCGGTGGGAGTTTGGAGTTCCATATCGGAAGCCGCCCTCTTTCTCACCATTGTTAGTACGTAGTTCCGGAGAGATGGAAATGATGGTGGTGTGGTTAACGCTTAAAAGCAGGAGGAGGAAGCATGTGGGGAGGAATAGGAATAGGAATAGGAATAATAGGATACAGGTCTCGAAGAAATGAGATGAATTCAATTAACATGAATCCGAGAAAAAGGTCCAAGGAGATAACGGCCATTAGCACTAGAACAGAAGAGGGGGAGAGGGAGCATCGGGATTCTGCGTGACACCCCACCACACAACCCCATCCCACTTGTGTTGTTTGTTTCTTCTTCACTTCGCATTTTTTATCTTTTAGTAATTTATACCAAAAAAGATATGATAAAATTTGACTTGGTTTAAAGGATTAAATAGGGTCGTGGCTGTGGCTGTGGCTGTGGCTGGGCCGGAGCCGGAGAAGGAGGAGGAGGTGGAGGTGGTGGTGGGAGTGGTTGGAGAAGGGCGATGGTAATGTTGGGGAGTTGGGGAGGAAATTGTCGAGTCGTGTGTTGGAGGTATGCGGAGGGTTTTGGTGAGATGCATTTGTTCATTCATCGTCTCGTCTTCCAGTGTTTGACTTTCTTGCACCGTATTCGTATGTTTTAAGCGTTGTTTACTATGAATCCTCGATTCTTACACCTATCAACCCTTTTCCCTACGACTCTTCTCTTCATATACTTTACATTTTTTCTTTTTCCTATTAATTTATATTATTTCCTATTATTAACATTTTTTTTACAATATATATATATATATATATATGTTATTTTGTTTTTACTAACTATATAGTGCTAGAATGCACAAATCTGGACTACCGGATTGAATAAAATCAAAAATTATAATCTTATGGTTTATGATATCACAATAGGGTAATATGTACCATATAATCATATAAATTCCAGTATAAGGGCATTTTAGTCAATTAACCTATATTAAAAAAGAAAATTTTTGGATTTTTGGAAATAATTAATTCCTTTATTTTTTAAAATCTGAATATTTTAAATTAAATCAAATTTAAAAATCTGATTTTGTCACAACTGGCATTTTTGTTAAGAAATTCTATTCTCATAAACACACATTTATTGTAAGGCTTGTACTCTAACTGAATACTACACTTTATGCTCGTTCAAATACATCTTATACGTGCAAATAAGGGTTGGAAACCCTAGAAATCCCGACTCAAGTTTATTATGGACTAGAATTCTTTTATTGGGCCTAATGAACCAATAAACCTTCAACTTGACTATCTTGGGCCTAAAAACCCTAATTGGGCTCTAGTTAGACCCACACTTGTAAAACCATAGCCTTTTGGGCCATTTGGGGCTAGAATGATTCATTTTATCTTTAATAGGCCTTGTTGGGCCATAAATGTTTCCATTAGTCCCAATGGGCCGAAAAAATATCAATTGGGCTTCATAAATTCGAACTAAGCCAAGGAAGCCCAAACCATTTCCTCTTCATTCTCTTTAGCCCATTCTTGGCCCATATAGTTATTTACTCAAAAAAAAAAAAATAGGGATTATCCTCCCTTGACACCTCATTGTTGCATGGTGGATTTCCATGCAACATCACCTCAAATCTCTCTCCTCTTCCCCCCCCCCCCCCCCTCTTCTACTCACGGCCAAGGCACCCACCACCCACCTCCATTTTCTCATTTCAAGCTACTTCAAAACACTCTCTAGAACTCCTTCTTCCATCAAAATTTTGAGATCTGTGGGTGTTTTCAAGAGGATTCTTCACCAAAATCATCATCCTTGGTAAGTTTTTTCTTAGATTCATGGTTTATTCTCTTGATTACTTCAAAAATCTCCTCTTAACTCATGCAATATCGTGATCTTTCATCTTAGAACCCATTTAAGCTCAAAAACCTCTCAAGAAGCTTGCTAGGGCCAAGAATCACATCATCTTCTTCCATTTCTTCTTCAAACCAAGAACAACAAAGCAAGGTGAGTTCATACCCCCTTGTTTTCGGTTTTTACATGATTTTTTTGGGGAGAATACAAGTAAAATGTGTAGATCTATGTGTATATGCATGAATATGTGTGTTTTTCATGACTTATTTGTTGATTATGTGTTATATACCTCCTAAATCTAAAAATATGTTATGAATATTAAGTTTTTCACTTGGATCTACAAGAAAACCTTGAGAAAAGTATGTGTTATCACATATAATACATGTAAACTTGTAGATCTGGGATTTATACACTTAAAATATCAAAAATGAGTATTGTGTTCAAAGATCCATAAACTAAACTCATAAATCAGCCCATGACAGAAAAGTTTTGGTCCAATCTCAGACTGTTTTGACCAACTAAATAATAATATTTTTCAAATCTATTTTACATGCAAAAATTTCAGGTCTATACCTTTAAAATGACTACTGTCACATTTTTATACGATTTTTCTACAATTTTTGGCGAATTTTAGAAAACTGCCTATCATTTCCGGAAAAAATTCGGACCAGCCTGTGAAGGTGAGAAATTTCACACTAGTTTGAGGCCATTAAAAATCATGAGAAAAATTGTGAACAAAGTAGACAAAATTTCCAAACTTCCAGAGTTTACAGATCCAAATTTCGACTTACTATGATTTTTCTACAAATTTTCCAACATCCGGGTGAGAAAAGTTAAAAACCAGAAAAATGTATGTTTTCACAAAAATCAAGCCAAAAATGATATTTTTGACAAAAATTGGTTAAAAATATTAGTTTTACCAAAAATAGCCATAAAAGCAAGTTTTTAACATAATGGAGACTAAAGTGTTATTTTTACTAAGAATGAGCCTTAATTGTAAATTTTGGCTTATTGGGCTAATAGTGTCATTTTTACAAAAGGTGGTCCTTCTAACACAATTTGGCAAATACTTGGTATAAAACGAATAGAACAATAAGAAAACGGGTTAAGAATACAAGTTTAGCGGACCTTAGTTATCCCTTTACAAGTATATTAGGTCTTGAAATACTCATTCACTTTTGTATTGGGCCTGAAATACAATACACATGTTTAGTGGGCTTTAGTGTCCTTTTACATGCTTAATGGGCCTTAGTGTCATTTTGCGTGTTTAATGGGCCTTAGTGTCCTTTTACATGTCTATCATTTCCGGAAAAAAATTCGGACCAGCCTGTGAAGGTGAGAAATTTCACACTAGTTTGAGGCCATTAAAAATCATGAGAAAAATTGTGAACAAAGTAGTCAAAATTTCCAAACTTCCAAAGTTTACAGATCCAAATTTCGACTTACTATGATTTTTCTACAAATTTTCCAACATCCGGGTGAGAAAAGTCAAAAACCAGAAAAATGTATGTTTTCACAAAAATCAAGCCAAAAATGATATTTTTGACAAAAATTGGTTAAAAATATTTGTTTTACCAAAAATAGCCATAAAAGCAAGTTTTGAACATAATGGAGACTAAAGTGTTATTTTTACTAAGAATGAGCCTTAATTGTAAATTTTGGCTTATTGGGCTAATAGTGTCATTTTTACAAAAGGTGGTCCTTCTAACACAATTTTGCAAATACTTGGTATAAAACGAATAGAACAATAAGAAAACGGGTTAAGCATACAAGTTTAGCGGACCTTAGTTGGCCCTTTACAAGTATATTAGGTCTTGAAATACTCATTCACTTTTGTATTGGGCCTGAAATACAATACACATGTTTAGTGGGCTTTAGTGTCCTTTTACATGCTTATTGGGCCTTAGTGTCATTTTGCGTGTTTAATGGGCCTTAGTGTCCTTTTACATGTCTTTTGGGCTTGGAATTTACATTAAATGTAATTTAGACCCTTGATGTCTATTTACATGTCAATGATTCCAAAAGTTTATTAATTATGTTTAATAGTATAGTTCCATATTCGCGTAAATTTTGGTAAAGACTCTAGTGAGAAATATCGGTTGACACCTATTGAGTGTCTGATCGTAGCCTCTAGTTATAGCCAGAGTCTCCTGGAGGGAGAACGGGAGTTTGTGTATAGATCTATATGGGGTGACACCCCACACCTGAGCTGTTCGCTACAGTTAGATTAAGCCAGTCTAGGGTGACAAACTTTATCTTATTATTCTTCGGCGTTTATTAAACGTCACGACAGGCGAAATTGTCATTATTATGTATGGTTATAACAACTCACTTAGAGAATAACTCCATTATAAATTTACGAAATACTTCATCAATGTAACACGATCTTTGGCGATTAAGACTAATTCATTCTTTATAATCAGATAATATCGGATTTTCTGGGGAAAACATTTAACTAATCAATATCTTCTACTTATATAAGAAAATATAGGATTTTTTGAAATGTGATTTTTTAAGCTTAACACACATGCATTAATACAAGGTCGAACACAATCTTCACAACTCATTTTTTTTAGAAAATATCGGATTTTTTGGTGTTACAAAACTATACAATACTGTTTACTTAAACATGCTTATGAACTCACCAACATTATATATGTTGAGCTTTTCAAATTAATTAGTATTCTCAGGAAACCGTTAAGCAGGTGGACTTCAAGAATTTGACAACTTTTTGTACTTGTTTCGCTATTATATACATTTTGTGCTGGCATGTAACTTATAACCCACTACTCAATGTAAGAAACGATGGTTGTAATTTTGAATGTATGATGATGGTGTTTGTTACGTTTCATTTATATACACTGTAATGTTATTCCAAGGCACCCAACCTCCGAACGTTTCTGCCGTTTCGGTTCGGGTGTGTGATAGATTTTATTCTGTCAGAATGTCAAACATTAATTAGTAAAGATATTTTTGATTTTATTTTTGTGGAATATATTTCCAATGCATATATTTTTGATAATTAACCTGATTTAATAATTTAACATATATTCTTCATATTCTTTAGAACGTGAATACAAAATTATACATATTCTTACAAATTAATAGTCTTATACAATCTAATATAGTTGTACATATTTTAACAGAATATCATAAAAAATAAATAACAATATTAAGTAATAACATTCTTAAATATACAATTATTAAGCAAATACACATGATCTTCATCAATGGTCCAAATAATGCACTTGATTCAAACTATGATGAAAATGTGATATATCATCTTAAGAATGTAATTCTTCGCAAAATATACTTGTTGTTGAACTCGTTTCCAAATCTTTTTCTTGTATGATTAATATTGAATTCTTTCTTCAAGCCATTCTAAAAGAATAAGATGCATTATTCGTTAGTATTACCAGTGAAGCTAATGTACTTGTTGTTAACAAACATTCTCAAAAAATTCTAACAGAATGCATTTATACTAATAAATTCCGACATAATACAAGCATTACTTATTTAATAGAAACTATATAATAGAGAATGATAGCATATTCTAACAGAATGTATTTTTTTCCTATCTTGCAATTTTTTATTTTTTATTTTTTATTTTTTTTTACTTTTCCTATCTTGACAAATAAGGAGATTGAAATCGAATCCTGTCAGAATAATAGACATTCTAAGAGTTTTGACAGAATACATACCACATGACCAGATTCTAACAGAATGTATTTCATTTTTCCTATCTTGCAA